GAGTTTCTAGAAGGATCATGACTTTTCCTGGCAACTCTAGTCTTTTCTAGGCACCCTCTATTTAGTATATAAGCCCGGAAAATAAAGCGGATAGAGGAATTGCAGATAGACAGAGAGATATAGAGACAGATAATTGAGTCAAGCGAGTGGTAGTGACCGTAAGTAAAGTGCATGAATCGTTGTGAATTATAGCGTGTGTTGAAGTTAAAGTGACTGTGGAAATTAAGAGTATTGCAAAGTTGTATTGACAAAGAATAAACTAGTTTTATTTAAGAAAAGACTTGTATCGCTGAAGCTTCTCGGGAAGAATTTATACCGGAAATTAACAAACGAACAGAGACAATACAATTGTCGAGTTTTTAGAACTTCTCTGTCCTTCCAAAAGAATAACTTTATCTTTGCTAAAAATGCATCACCCATTAAGAGTAAGTATATTATTTAGGTTTTCTTTCTATTGGGATTTTCATTCTCTCTCACTGATTTTACTTTTAGTTGTATAGCCTTTTGTTCCCACCCTGAGCAACTACTGTCAAAGTTCAGCTTTGAAAATAGATACATCCAAAATGTGAATACCATTCAATAGAGTTCATAATAAACTATTTATTTAAATGTAGAAGAGAATACAGTGGTATCAGAAGAAATGTATGGCTTCTTAGCTTAGTTAGGTTTAGCGAATATAGTAAGCAATGGCTAATTATACCAATGACTCGAATCTTTATTTATAGAATATTATGATTAAGTTTAACATATTCAAACATTGTATGTAAATAAATGAACTTATTTTAGGTTGAAAAGAAACTATATTTATTATATATACATAGACTGATCTTGACCAAGAATACTGGTAGCAAAACAAATGTTACTTAGCCTGACCTGACACTATTTTGGAAAGTACAATTCTAGGCCACCAATAAATCTTTGTCAGTTTAAATGGTGTTTTTCTACGATTTATATTTCAATCAGTAAAATAGTTTCAAATGAAACATCTTAATGAAAACCAGTCGAGAAGAAATTAACTGGAATGAAACTTTCTGATCCACAAAAAAAAAATTAAATTCTAAAACAAAAGGTAGTATTTTTTAATGTTTTTGAGGATTATCTAACAATAAAATTGTGGAATTTTATTCAAATTATATACGACATACAAAATAGAAAAAAAAAACTAAACATATTATTTTTTAAAGCTGAAACTAGATACTATTTAGTAATTGTTTTTAAAGTTTCATGAAAGTTGGTTAAGTTAATGAAAAAAGGGTTATGATGAAGTTTAAGAAGTGAGAATTATTCTCTCATCAGAAGGGATTTCTGGGACACATAGTCTGCAGAGAGAGAGAATGTATACAGACCCAACCAAGACTGAACCTCTTCAGATTTGTTTAACACCACAGAACTTCAATGAGATAAGAGAATTTCTTGGACTATGCTCTTACTATTCATATTTGCTAATTTTCTATAGAAATCCTGGAGAAAGCAGTTCTGCTAGACTACTTATTGCAACTAGACATTAAACAAACTGAAAATAGAATTGACTGATACTGCTGTAAAAGCCAAAAGAGCGAATCATTCTTTGCAAAATATTTTATATGTACAACTAGGTGTAACTAATTATTAAAATTTTTCTTGATGAAGTTTTTGAATTTGAAAACTTATACGTAATGGTTGAAGCTTTTGACAAACAATCATTATTTTGTTTTAGGAACTTAAAGATGAAATCGCAGAAGTTGCTGAGAAAACAAATATTGAAGACGAAAGGTTAGAAAGAATAACTTTTTTTTGATTTTCTTGATTTTCGGGCGTTCTCTCTGTTTAGGAAATGTATTGCGTTTGTCCTATTTCGTTTTTCTCTAAAACTAAATCTATTTATAATCAGCTCATTGTGTAATTATACACAACCTTTCTTGAGATGTCCTCATGCATTGACAAGTGCACATTCTAAGAATGTATAGTTTTCCATTTTAACTAATATTTTAACATTACAGATCTGTTACTGAACTGATTCTAGAATGAAGGGTGTCATGGTAGGCATGGGATGGATATTTATATTTACTTGTGTATGTGAACGTATTGTCTTATACATCTCTAACATTTATCTTGAGATGATTTATCCACATAGATATTATTCTTCTCTTACCAATTTTCAAGATACCTGGTTCTTTGTTTTCTCACTTTTTGTTACAGAGTAATATTCATTACCAAGTACCATATATTAAAGACTTAACTGTAGTAACTGACGATTTCTTTGGATCATGAGAATGTAATATTGAATATCTTCTTGGAGTGACTAAGACCTCTTTGGAACACACGACCATGGTGTTGATTATCTCCTTGTGGTGACTGAGACATCTTTGGAACACACGACCATGGTGTTGATTATCTCCTTGTGGTGACTGAGACATCTTTGGAACACACGACCATGGTGTTGATTATCTCCTTGTGGTGACTGAGACATCTCTGGAACACACGACTATGGTGTTGATTATCTCCTTGTGGTGACCGAGGCATTTTGAATGGTGTTGAATACGTTCTTATGGTGACTGAGACCTCTTTGGAACACACGAATATGTTATTAAATATGTCCTTGTGGAGACTGAAATCTCTTTGGACCACACGAATATAGTGTTGAATACGTTCTTGTATGGACTGAAACCTCTTGGGAACACACGAATATATTGTTGAATACGTCCTTGAGGGGACTGAAACCTCTTGGGAACATACGAGTACAGTGTTGAATATGTCCTTGTGGTGATTGAAACTTCTTGGGAACACACGAGTAGTGTTGAATATGTCCTTGTGGTGATTGAAACCTCTTGGGAACACACGAATAGAGTGTTGAATATGTCCTTGTGGTGATTGAAACCTCTTGGGAACACACGAATATAGTGTTGAATACCTCCTTGTGGGGAATGAAACCTCTTTGGAACACACGAATATAGTGTTGAATACGTCCTTGTGGGGAATGAAACCTCTTTGGAACGCACAAATATATTTTTGGATACGTCCTTGTGGGGAATGAAACTTCTTTGGAACACACGAATATAGTGTTGAATACATCCTTGTGGTGGCTGAAACCTCTTTGGAACACAGGACTGTGGTATTAACTTGTCATGACTGATGAGCTCTTTCAAAGAATAAAATATGACATTGAAGATATCTTTGTGTTGATTGCTGGAATTTTAAGAAAACAGAATTGTGGTGTTGAATATCTTGTGATAATTTTGGAGTATGTTCTTCTGTTTATTGATAATATCTTCACAAGATATGGCTGTGATGTTGAACCTATCATTGTGCTGATCGATTTGATATGATATCTAGTTACAATACCTTTTGAAAACAATTAACCTTTTTAGTTTATTTGGAAGTAATGTACCTTTTATAGTCAGTATTACATTTATGTAATCATTGTTTGTTTTTAACAACTTTAACTACTACATTGAGTGACCAATTCTGATAAAAGAGTTAGCACAAAGGTTCACATATAAAGTTTAATAGACTTAAAATAAGACCCAAAACTCGAGCGCTTTCGGATAGTTGACTATTCTTCTTCAGGAGTTCTTCTGAAGAAGAATAGTCAACTATCCGAAAGCGCTCGAGTTTTGGGTCTTATTTTAA